AGCGTTGAATCTCACAAATTGGTAAACCAGTTAGGAATATGAATCTAATCATGCGGTGTGGCTGCACTTACAAAAAAAAAAAATAAACACGTTGCATGCATTATTTGGACGACCGTTATCAGTTATTTCGGGATTTTTCACCTGTCGTAGCCACAAATCCGTCCATTTTCTACGGTTGTTTGATCTACAAATGCGTCTTACCACATACTATTTAACTTATTAAGGTATGAACAACATGACGGATGCCTTTAGTGGAACAAAGGAACAGACATTTCTTACGCAGATCATCTGAATTAACCACCGACGTCTATTTTGGATCAGTGTTGCTCAATTTTTAGTGTTCTGTTTATTGTGAATTTAACCATGGGGTATTCCGTTCGTTATTTTCTAATTAGCAAAATAACAAGCTGGTTTACCGCACTTATTTTGCTGTTGTTTAGCATCTAAACGCTTTGTATATATTTTTTTTATTGGGGAGGGGGGCAGGGGTAAAATAAAACGATTTTGCTATCTAGATTACACTTTTTAGCAATTAATTGTTACATATATGTCATGTCATTTTACAAATACAGTCGCCAATTTTATTTTGCAGTTATAGAAAGGTATAATAATTATTAGTTAATAATCATGGCTAACTTTTCGGTATCATGTCTTTAAGAATACAGGATTATCAAAATTTGTGCTTTTAAAAAAAAAAAGATATTTTGATTTTTTTTTAAATTGTTTTCTAACTATATCCGTTTAACCGTGTATAATAAAATAATTAAATGATAATGATTTTCAATTTTGTTCATTTAAGCAAAAACGTCTACTTCGTACATAATTTTAATACTATTTTTGAAATACTTTATTTCTTTATTAACAATTCTAAAGTTAAATCACATTCAGGACAGACGTTGAAACGCATCCAAGTTGTTTGAAAATTTCCAGTGTTATTTATAGATTTTATGGTTTATACATCGAATTCTTATGCATAATATGAAGAAAAAATGTAACCACCCAAATACAGATATTAAATGGCCATGAATTATTCATCATTTCTATTCTAAACATGTTGAAAATAATCATAAAATTACAGGTGTATGTAACATCATGCATAACGACTCATATATTCATTACAATAGAAAAACTTAGCAGAAAATTTGATATGGTTTATTGATTTTAAAGAACATATCGGAAAATTGTTATTGCTTGTGATCATGAAATGAATTTATGTCCATGCCAAAAGATGATGTTGATATTTTTTACCTTTTTATAATGTTGGCTCATATTTCAAATAGATAATCAATAGCTTATTTGTTTGCGTTTTAAACCAATCATGTGTCCAATATAAATCAGGAAGTATAAGAGGACATTCAAATAAAATGTCAGACTACAATGCAGTGGAAGTAACATAATGTGAAAGCAAAAACAAAACTATACGGATACAATGGAGAAGATGTTTACATTATTTTTATTACTTTCCGTTCATTTTTTAACAACTGAATGTGAGTATCTATTGATACGTAAGGTTCTTTACTCAATTTAGATAGTAGATTTCAATGGTGGGGTAAATAAATGATGTTTTATAAATAAAACAGCAGGTAAAGTTTATTGTTAGTGTGAAGACGGATACATAATGTAACATCGTCCTTATAAAGTGCTAACATAAATATAGATTTTGAAAATTATTTTATATTAGAAATAGCTGATTTTGTATGGATTTTGTTTACTTTAATTTTGTTTCTAGATTGAATATATTAATTCAATAGCACATCGCTGAAAATGACAAATTTAAGATTTAATAATTTTCTCCGTCAGGAAGTCGTATAACTAGGGATACATATATTAAAACACGCTCACACACAATGGAATTTAAACACCATGATTATAGCTTGGAAACTGTGAATTTTTTAATTTTTAATTTTTATTGTTTTAATAATATATCTCAATTATGAAATTGTGTTCGTTGATTAAACCCCAAAAACAAATTCATCACACAGCTCACTTATTCAAATTGTAGAACTTTTGAACATTGCATGGAATAATTACTGTTGAAATTAATATAATATATGGAAGATGGATTTATCAAATATATTCGATGAACAAATGGAATTAGTAAAGTAAAGAGCGGAAAAATAAGTAAATATCTGTTCATTTCATTCCAGTTCATGTATATTACTTAACTACTAACTTATTGTAATACAGTCTAATTCGAATTTCTCTACTATATTTATTTATGATAATAATGAAAGTAAGATAATCAGAAAAGAAAATCATGTTCATAACGAAATATATTTGACGATACATTTAATACTCGTTTATTTCAAGGTGACCCTTGTCTTACCTATAAAGTTTTGGATACACCGAATGAACATACTAGGTCCGTTGCAAATGCTGCCTTACCTCCCTCAATATGTGACAATACTTTAGAAGCTGGATGGTACCGTGTCACTAGCTATGCAGGAGAACGGATGCCAACGGAATGTGTTTATGGTGGAATGAGGTGTGGGACATCATTTTCAATATGGATGAATGGTAATTTCTTCCTTCTTGATATGGCTGAGATATAAAGTGAAACTATAAATTGTCTTGTAGACGCGAGTTAATATATTTTTGTTCTAGATAACCTTCTTCTTAAGATTTAACAAAACATGTACTTTGAAATTTCAAAAGAAGTTATTGAAAATTATTTCAACCATTATATGTCGCCCTTATTAGGGTAAAAAAATTATCCTGGTATCTTTGATTTTTTATTTAACAAGGTAAGCGTTTCATTAATACTTATAATTTGAGCTATTTATATGTTCTAGTTCATTTTGTGTCTCGTGTCCGGTTCTCGTGCATAAATGAGTACATTAGTAGCTTAAGTTTTATAAATTGTTTCATATATATATATTCAAAAAGAAAGTATGTCTTTAGATAACCAAAAGATAATTTGACACTTAGATATTTTAATATAGTATATTATATTTTATTAGTTCAATCTTAGTTTATTTATTGTTTCAGTTGAAATTATTTTTAATAAAACTGCACGTACATGCCACTATATTGTAATAACTCTCTTTCATGAAAGTCAAAAATGAAACAGACATCAACAAAATTGGATCATTGAACTGATATATTAAAGATAAAGTATATCAAATATGTAATATGTCTATTGATCTGGCAGTAATTACAACACGGAATGGCAAATTGAGAGAGATAACACACGAATGCATATGAATTATGAATATCTGCCATGGTCGTCAAGTGATTCAAGATATACAATTTGACTGAATAGTTAAACAGAATAACTATAACGATAAAACTTGACTTTAACTAGATTTTGTTTATTCTGCTGAACACTGAATCAAATCACACAGTGGGTGATTTGTGAAATTTCTATTTTTTTGTATTTTCTGTCTGTCTGTCTGTCTTTTTTTTCATCGCTTTTCCTATTTCATTTTTGCTTTCTTTTTATTTTGTTTGTTTGTGTTTTTTGTTTTAAATTTGGTAATTACAGTTTGTTGAAGTATTGCACTGAATTGAATAAACCGTTGTGCAATATATCTCATTCACTTCGTTTATGATTATTTGCCAGGCACGTATCCAGACACCGGTGTTGTGAAGACAGTTCAAGCATGCGCAGCACATTACAATGGAGACTGTTGTAAATACTCTTATGATATAGAAGTCAAGAACTGCACAGATTACCTCGTGTACAATTTGGTGCCTGTGTCATCATGCTACCAGGCGTATTGCTTTGGTATGTTATCACCATACGATGTATTTAAAATATGGTATGAAAACGAAGAGAACAATCATTGAAGTACATGTATAAAGAAAATAAAATGCGTTTCATATACAATTTTTATGTAAAAAAGATATAATTTACCATTTTCTTTTCTGACTAATTGTAGCTTTTTAAAGATATCTTTATCGTGATATATCTACGAATGCACTTTTTAGTTGATGATCGGAAATAAACTCGTTATTTTTTATATGAAATTGTTGATAATAACTTATCTTTGTAGGTTCAGAATTAGCATGCCCTGCTGGAGAAACATCTGACAACAATGGGTTTACGCCTGGATGTAGATGTAAGTTTTAAATTTTTGTTACAATTCAATTTCCGAATTCTACTTCCTTATAGGTTAAAGCATATTTGCTTATTTCTTGTAATTCTGATTTAAAAGAAGTCCCTGGCCTGTTTGACGTCTGTCTCATTTTATATACGAAATTCAATTAAGTTAATGAGAAGAGGAGAATTTGGCTCCAATATGAAATGTAATTGTCCTGTTTCTTTATTCATATTGTCTTTATTACATACGTTTTATTTGACTCACTGTTTATCGATGGTCAATTTTGGCATACGCATTACTGGCAAATTCGAAACGAACTCGTCCAAATTATCCATAAATGTTTTGAATATCTACATTGATTATTGCAATTCAAACAAGAATGACCGGGAAAGACCGGGAAAGGGAATGACTACTCAACTATCCATTAGACATTTCTTTGAGTTCAAAGGCTTCACTTACTGATTATTCAAAATCCTGTAGATCGATCGTCTGTACTATACCTGTTATTCGCTCTTTACGGGATATTCTAATAATTACATTTATAATGCTATTCAATGACGGTTTGCAGCACACTTAAATAGAAATTACCAAAACAGTATTGACATTTAGAAACTCCTAGCTAGACCTAATTATTCAACTAGACTAGATTGTGTTAATAGTCATCACAGAACTTTTGGAAAAAACCCAGGTGGTTATAAGTAGAGCCTCTTAAAGGTACGGTGATTCTTAGTTCACTCATGTTTGTAGTGTTTAGAAATCTGAGTTTTGATGCTCATTTGGACCATCAGATTCTTCCACCTTATTTTGAATTCTTTTTTAGATGAGCCTTGCCTGGAGGAAAACTATCAAACTTTAGATCATTGGGAGCGATCAATAAACAATACGGAAATCGGAAATCTGTGCGACAATCTTCTAACACCAGGGTGGTACCGTCCAATAAGTCTCGTAGGGAATACAATGCCAACAGAATGTCCACAAGGTGGATACAAATGCGGAACCAGTTATCCAATATGGATGGATGGTAGGAAATTATTTCATTAAATTGAATCAATAGTCTCTTTGGGCACATACAAACGCAATTTATATTTTTATGTCAATAAATGTCAACAGCTAGATGCATTTTAAAATCGTTATGAATAATTAAATGAAACATATAATTCTCTTCCTGAGAATGAAAACAGATATTTAAAAATCAATAGGAGATAAAGCACTTATTTGATTTCAGTAAATCTTCGTTATTTTAAATGATAAAGTTACTAAAGGAACTTCTCAAAATTGTAGTTTGTTGTATAATATGTTTTTAAATGATGTTGCCGCAGTTTTCTTTTCTTTTTACTTTGCTTTGAAATTAAAACTGTTCGAAGATAATAATAACATGTAAAAATTTATTTGCAATTGTATATATATCTGTGCATGACGAATAACACGAGTAATCGAATCAATTTCAATCTGATTTACTCAAATAGTAACACTTGAAACACAAACAGAACTTTGATACCATGGCTCAATATCTGTATTTGCTTTAAGTAGGCATATGTTGTTGCTAAAACGGTTTTCATAATATATTGATAGGATCCTATCCGTCTTCTGGTGAAATTACAAATGTAAAGGCATGTGTTGGAAATTATAATGGAGGATGTTGTACTAGTTCTTATGACATCCAGGTTAAGAACTGTTCAGATTTTAACATATACAACTTGACAGCTACAAGTGGATGCTCCCAAGCATACTGTTTCGGTGAGATTATGTTATTTTGCTTCTTTTAATCTTGATATTATTCGAAAAAGTATTTTATCAAAATACTTTTGACTGAATTTGGAACACATAGCAACCACAAAAAAGAAAAGAAATCTAAAAGGCAAAACACTTGGAAAACTTTAAGACGACAGTTGTTTGACGTTATCGATGGTCCTACCTCGTAAATCAAATTGAAATATACGATATAAGTTATTACTCCAAAGAGGAATGTATGAACCCACAATGAATGCATCGACAGAGTTAGCGATGTCTGATATGCATCAACTCAATATAAAAAGTTTAATTCGACACAATGGATACATTTTCAGGAATAACGGGTAAAACTAAAAACACAGTGTATTATTAAACCTTGTTTTAACACAGTGAGACCATTCGAATCGGCAGGTTAATAATCATTCCGTTACTAACCCAGCATTAATAAATTGTTACTGGGCCAGTAGTAGTTTTGAAGTATAATAGCACTATTTGAATCAAGAAACTCCTTCAACTACCTGACAGATATATACTTTTGAATTGAAGATTTAAAAAAGAAATGTGTTGTTCAATTTAATGCAAAAGTATATAACTAGTTAAATATATTTTTATTTTTAAATTTGGTTGATAAACTTAAATAATAGTATACATGATATAAACATTTAAGGTACTGAAGTGAAATGTCCAGAGGGAGAAACTTCAGATAATGGAGGGTTTACACCAGGATGTGAATGTGAGTCGTACGTTTTTTGTCAGTCAATAGCTTCAATATTTTACTCTTTAATAAATATTATGAACAATTTGTATACATGTAAGAGTAATTTTGTGCTATCCAAATAACCATAAAATCTCATCAAAGATACCAGGCTTATGATTGTGTACCCCAGACACGCGTCGTCTTCAAAAATGTTACCAGTGACGCTCGAATAAAAAAGTAAAAGGCAAAATAAAATACGAAGTTAAACTTTATTTAAGAACCAAAAGTCCGAAAGGTTTTGCCAATACATCTTGTGTATTGAAAGTCTGTCTAAGAATCATAATGAATATTAACAAAACAATAGTGATTAAAGTGTGAGAGTATGATCGAACGGTCTCCAGTCTGTGCGTTGTCCGTTCAATAGTCGGTCCGTTAATCCGGCCGTCCGTCAATCCGGCCGTCCGTCTCGTTTCAGGACAAAAAGTATAGTAAAAGTAGTTGACCATGAATGTGTGGTATCGCCAACTTAGAATTCAGTGAAAATGTTTATTATGACATTATCTTCTTAAATTACATTCCAAATTACGGTTTGACCCATATATCGCATTTTGCTCATTTCGACAATAAATCTCTATTCAGTGATGCCCGAGGCAAAATATTTGAAAATAAAACACATTAAAAAATTGAAGAGCTGGTAAATCCAAACGGACAAAAATTATAGCAAAGGTCTGGCAAGGAATCAGAGCTTTGCATTATTGAGATATATTGTCTGACTTTACACACTATCACTATAAAAAGTTATACCATTTTTTTAGTCGACCCATGTCATAGCAGTAACTACCAGATACTCGTTGGGGAAATGAAACGGTCCTCGAACTATACACTACAGAATAGCGATGTGGCGATAGAGGACAGTCGATTGACAACAGGATGGTACAAGATCGATAGTGTAACAGGAAATGACATAGTCAATGAAAGCGTTACTATGATGCAGTGTGGAACTTTATATCCACTTTGGATGGAAGTTGAGTATTTATGATACAATATTTGCGTATGTGGACCGTTGTGCATGCTTTTTATTGTTTTTTTGTAGCTATGTAAATTATTTTGGACGTTATTATTTGTTACGAAGAGAGAGAGTTTAAAATTCACCTTTGTTATTATTTTCATGTGAAGATATGAGAATTTTAAAATTTATATGATAAACTGTTATTTCATAACTATGCAGATTTAAGCTGGATCAACATTAAAACTTTAACATTCTAGGAACCCTACCGGATGTTTCTGACAAAACCGTTAACAGAAAAGTATGTGAATCAGGATTACATAGCACATGTGACCAGAAGTATGATATTAAAGTTAGAAATTGTGGTAACTACAGGACCTATTACTTGACACAGTTGAATGTTGATAAATCGGCCTACTGCTTTGGTAAGATTTGTTTTTGTAGACAACCAATGCATGGACTTTTTAATGTTCTATTTTTTCATCGAAAGAAACAATCTTAATGCTAGTTTATACAATGGTCACGGTAATACTACTAGTCAGTATATCTCAAACACACTAACGGGTACACACACATATTTAAATATTTTGTGGAAGGATTTCCAACAAGTGTATACTTCTTATTATTGTTTCGAAATATCAGTAAGCAAATCAAAGCTTTATTGCATATAATATTTGTTTTATGGAGTTATTTGATTCTACCAGAGGTTACACCTGCTAATTTATTGTTCTATCTTATCCCTAAGATGGCAACAATTTTGGTACGTGTAATACAATCTGTTTTTAACAAGTTCATTTATCACTCTTTTGATGTTTCCTTATATAACAAATTGTATTTCCTACTACAATTTATAATGTTTGATGTTGATGTTTCAGGCATTATAAATAGTTTGTTTAATTCTCAATTTAAAATAGAGAATGGGTTTTATTTTATTTCGGTAACTATACATTATTATTTAGAAAAGTTATGGTAGTACATTACACCAATCCTTCCAGAAGAGCGGGGGTTAGAACAATAATTTTGTTTTATCCAGTTAAGATATAATGCAATACAAATAATCAGAAGAAATAAATTTAAGCGGAAATTTGGTATTGTCCAGTTTATAACGCTACAGGGCCACCAGTAGAGTTTTACATTTAGGAGGGCATGATGTGTGTAATCAAATCATTTTGTTATTCATTTAATAATTGTATCTTAGGTACATTCCCTGTTCCTGACCCTACAACTACCACTACTACTACAACCACCACCACCACCACCAAGACCACTACCACCACCAACACAAAGAGACCACCACCAGGAGACCACCATTCATCAAAAGGTATTGACATTTTGTAACTGATATTTGATACATCTTAGTGCCATTTGAATGAATTATAAAGTGTAGTGAAATTTTATATATCAAGTTATTTTTATTTTGCACTAAACATGAAAAATAATGATATTGGTCAGAACAGGTTTCATTGATATTAATCTAAATAAAAATAGTATATATATTTTTTTTTGTCAAAATGCTGCAAACGCTAGTCATTGTTCTGACAAAAAAGTAATTTTTCAATGCAAAAACACCCTGGTTATAACACAATAAACAGCATTTTGAATCCGAATTTCAAAAGACTTAAAGGGGCCTCGGTGGCCGAGTGGTTTACGTAGTTACTACTGTAATCACTAGCCAGTCAACACTGAGGTTGTGAGTTCGCACTCCGCTCGTGCGGGTGCACTCGACTCCAATCTTAATTGACTAGGATTTTCAGTTTTCCTATCGAAGGTCGGTGGTTTTGTCCGGGCACTCCGGCTTCCTCCACCAATAAAAACTGGCCGCCACGAAATAGCCCAAAAGCGGTGCTTAAAAGTGGCGTTAAAACACCAAAAATCAAAATCAAATCAAATCAAAAGACTTAATATATATAATTCATTCCTTGAAACTAGGATAACCGATATTAAAATATAAATCTTAATTACTTTGTTTCAATTTGATTCAAATGAACAATGTATTTCTTGGAACGATGTTTATAACATGAATTTCATTGTGCTTTAATAGATGATGACGATAAAAAAGATGACAAACCCTACATCTGGGTCATTGTTGCTCTACTTGCAGTACTTTCAACAATATTGCTGGCTATTCTTCTTGTAAAGTAAGTTTGTTGATGAACATTTCTCAGATCATGTTAAACTAATGGTACTCACAAATATATATATTCATGTTGAAAATACGAAAACAAAAATATCATAAACATTAAAAGCATGAATGGGTTCTAGATAAAAAGCATCATGCTTAGAAAAAGCCGTATCTTAAAGCACAATAAACTAACGTTACATATATTATTAAAAAATAATTTAAAGTAACGCTTTGAATAAAACAGTTTAAAATCCCACAAATTCAAGTAATTGCAGGGTATGTGTATGTATACTAGCATTTGGATCTGTATTTTTGTCGTATTATAGTTTCAGTTATATACATTGATGTTCTTATAGATTGTGGCATTTGTCTTTTTTTTATTTGATAGTAAATGTATGACAGAAAAGTAAAGTCGATGTCATAATACGAAAGTAGGGGCCGCGGTGGCCATGTGGTCTATTTTGTCCAACTTCTGTATTACTAGCCTGTTTATACTGAGGTTGTAGCTTCGAATCCCACACGTGGTAGTCACTCTCGACTTCAATATTAATTAACTAGGATTGTCAGTTTTCCTGACGAAGGTTGGTGTTTTTTTCCGGGCACTCCGTCTTCCTCCGCCAATACAAAGTGACCGCCAAGAAATAGCACAATAGTGCTGAAATTGTTGTAAAACACAAATCAATCAATCAATCATATTATGAAAGTGAGCCAACCATATTGTGTATAGATGTAAATTATCGATACTTGTTTTCAAATGTTCACATGAGCATTCACTTGAACTTTTTTTCGAGAAATAAAGTAATCAGCCTTTCAAAAACTAAAACTGAAACAATTGTGATATAGGAAATATGTTTTGGTCGCTTTCGTACTAGGTAATTATATAATCATGTAATGTATATCTATATGCATTGAACATTTGTTTACCACGGATTTGTACCTTTATATTCATCTACGGCAAAGTTGACCTTAGATAGATTTGGCTATTATGTTTAAATTCATTTAGCTCTTCAACTGCTTCGGTTCTCTTTCTTCCTGGCTTTCAAATATAAAATGAGCGTTCCTGATGAAGGTACACCCGGAAAAGCGCCTCGGAAGCATAAAATTTATAAAGTGTTGTTTTAATTTTTTATATCAATATCGTTATAAAATTTCACACAAAATTATTGTGATTGATTTATAGTCTACATCATAAATCGCTTTCGATCTTGCTCGTATACAACAATGCATTTCTATTCGTTTCGTTGTGAAATATTATACTTTATCATATACTTATAGAAAATAATGGTATAATTGTACCCCATGACTTATTTGTACATACAATTATTCATTAAATTTGAAGAATTGCCTTAGCCGTGTGATATACTTCCGGTTTATATCAACTGCTTCAGTTTCATATCAACTGCTTCCGGTTATTATCGCATGCTTTTCTGTAACGTTATCGCATGACAGTTCGACGTCATTCGGCAAATTCCGGAAAATGTACCTCAATGGTACGTTTTCTTTTAGTAAAACATAACAAAGTTGGAGAAAAAGAAAATATTAATAATCAGGAAAATATTATATTAATAAATACAAAACAAATATTACTGTAACAACAAATGCATTGTTTCGAAGTTTTTAAAATAGTTTTGTCTGTATGTCTTCTGCTGAAGTATACGATAAAAAGAACATAACATGTCGTTTTTCATTTCAGACCCCTTATCAGCCCATGGTCAAAATCATCCATCGAGCCTGTCGGCGCTCGGGCTGATAACATGACCTAGGGTTGATAAGGGGTCTGATATGAAAAAGGCTATGTTATAATCTATATATATCGGAGAATAAAAAAGCAGAAAATTGTAACACAGAAGTAAATATCAACAAATGCTTGTAACTTAAGATATTAATGTTTTTTGTTCCTTTTTGAAGAATCATCTTACAAAGAACTGTATCAAAGCGTGCGGTTAGCTTTGTTAATGTAAAGGAAAAGTGTCCAACTTATGAAGAGGCAACACAAAACGAAAAAAATAATCGTTTGCTGGAGATTCAAACTGTAGGACAAAGCGCCCCTGGGAATCAGTTCTCGGGAAGTACAATGTCAGTTCCACCAACTAGTACATACCTGGGGCAAATGAAAAGATGCTAGATACTCCATAAAGAGAAAGTCATTGAAATGTATAGACAAACATTGTATAAAGTTCAAGCAAATCAAATGTAATACTCTTTATATTTTCTGAAAGTGTGAATCCAAATTTACATGTTTGTTTATAAGATATAACTGTTTCCCCGCTTATATCAATCCATCAGATAGGATGTCTTTCTCGAATTGTTGTGGTAGTATCACTCAATCTTCGATTGGTGAACCTAGTTTTTTTTGTGAAATTTTTACAAAGATGCAGATTTATAAAAGAAATGTGAATCAATTGACTCATGCAATTTAGCAAAAGAAATTTATATAATTGTTTTATTTGAATTCACCCTTTTTTATTCATTATCTTTTTCATTGAGGTCTTCTGTTGTTTTTCCTTGTAGTATAATCATAGCTCTTTTTAGTCCACAGTTTACGATACCGTCCATATTTATCATTTAATTTTAAAGTTTACATGTGTCCTTTCAATACTTTTAACATGTTAATATATTCTGTAAATATGCTTCATAAACTTGAATTTTAATTTTGCTACATCATGCATTTACGTGTTGCTTATCTAAAATTATCAAACCTGTCTAAGTTGATCTAAAAGGGAAAGGAAAACATCGGACAATATAGGTGACATATAGGTAGAGTTCATGTTTAAGGATATGCTCATTTTGGGCAAATATAAATATGATATACTTTGTGCCTCTTTTAGATTGTTTATTTGCTGACTCAACATCCATTTTAACCGACATTTGTAAGTATCAGGTCATATTACTTTGGTTTTGATAAATGTAAAACTTTTTTATAAATTGTCAATGTCACATGTAAGTTATTATTTAGAAAATACATATGAAGACCAAACGAATTACGAAACTATACAGAATTGGCATGCAACGAAGTATGCATAAAAAAACAATCATTAAGGCAAGTGAAAAATGAAGTCTGACAAAACATTATTTTAAATTTTTGCTTACATTGTACTGTATGTTGAACAAGTTTTGTATTAAGAAATAAGTTATCAAGATTTAATTTGTAAAAATGATATTATAAAGCTGCGCCCTCTCTTCTGTGCAAGGACTAAAAGCGAGAAATGTAGAAGAGAGTAAAAAATGTTCAATCTGCTTGCTAATTTTGTAATGTTCCTTATTTCAAAATAAGTGTATCGACAGAGCAATTGAAAAACCGTAGATTTTTGGAAATTTTCACAGAGTAAACATTAAAAAGTGTACTCAGCTTTTAGTATTGATGAAAATCTTCTGTAAATGAACAAAATATCAATCTTGTTAACTCCAACCAAAATTTCAGTAGATACAAGATAAATAGACAAAGTTCAACGGCCGTAAATGTGGTTCTACATCTTGACAATATAAACATGCTTGTATTTATTGAAATGCCTTGTCAAGTACAAAAAGCAGGGTGTAACTTTCTTTTGGAATCATGTTCCCTGTATGCACAATTAAATATTTGTGAAAAGCTTAATATAATAGCATTCTTGCTTAAATGCACACGTTTGGTTTAAGTAAAAAAGTATCCTATACAATCAAAACAATACGGTTCTACCTAAAGACTTATGAAACTAGTTAGACAACTTAACCGGGTATCATGTTTGATGAAAGACTAAATCAATATGTTCCATGTAGACTTGCATACTATCGCAAGATCATACAAAGTTACATGAGAAAAAATCATTACCACTATCTGGAACAGACAAACAAGTAATATATGCCTTATGGTATAATTAAAAAGATGTATAGGTATAAGGTTACACAGGTTTGAAATCATGTGTTATATTAATAAACATTTTGTTAAACTGTTTTGTATATTAAGTTATAAGAATGTTAAAACTAAGTTCAAAATCCATCTCAGATAAGATGAAAATAACTTGTAAAAAAGCGTTGGATTCTAAGTGGATAAATGTATGTCAAACATTAAAAAAAATACTTGTTTCACTTTTGATTTCCCGAGTTATATATATCTAGGCATGTGCAGATGTCATGGACAGAGTGTCACCTACAAAACAAAAACATCTTGTGTAGATGTGCAGATATCATTCGGAGAGTATTACCTTCAAAATAAAAAGACAATTGTTCCGGTTTATTATATACATTTTGATTATTTTTCAGACAATAAAATTTGTCAAACATGTCAAAAACTAAAGTCTAAACTTCCCCGAAGCATGACTGTCCTAGGACGGTCTGATCTATTTCTTATCCAGCATAAAACTATTATTTTCAATGCATTTATACTTCTCTAGTTATACAAAAGCTTGGCTCTGAGCTACATGTATCTCCTGGGATAGGCTGATCAAGAAAAGTGTTTCATACAGAGATAAATTAGTATACTGCAGTTTAATTTTTTCAAATTGCAATAAAACACCAATTAGACAAAAAACAACACAAATATGGTATTAAGCTACTTAAGAAATAAAGGCAACAGTAGTATACCGATGTTCAATAGTCATAAATCGATTAAGCGAAAACAAATCCGGGTTTCAATTAAAACCGAGGGAAATACATCAACTATAAGAGAAAAACAACGGAACAATAGAAACACTGAACTGCAACAAAACTAAACGTCAACATATATAGAAACGGACTATTTGATAACTACTGCCATATTCCTAAATTAGTACAGGACATTTGAAGAAAATATGGTGGGTTGTACCAGGTTTTAAATAAACGTAAGAACACTCAGGACAGAGAAATACATAAATGAATAATATAATAGTACATTACAACATGTAAACCGCAGAACAACAACGGACACCTCTTATGAATTTATGACAGTACACCAGCACACCACAAACGAAGAATAAACTGCGCGTCACACGAACGTATCAACGCCACAAAAAGTGACGTCATTTTTGTGATTTTTACATCATCACAGTTAAATTACTAAAAACAAAATAGATTTAATTTGTTATAGACACGTACAAGAATATAAAATTGGGATTGAGTATTAGTGTGATTTTATGTATTTTCTAACCATGACAGGAAATAAAGGCAACAGTAGTATACCGCTGTTCGAAACTCATAAATCGATAGAGATAAAAACAAATCCGGGTTACAAACTAAAACTGAGGGAAACGCATCAAATATAAGAGGAGAACAACGACACAACAAAAACACAACATTAAAATGTAACACACACAGAAACGAACTATAATATAACAATGGCCATTTTCCTGACTTGGTACAGGACATTTTAAGAAAAAAATGGTGGGTTGAACCTGGTTTATATTGAATACTGGTTTATATAGAATATTGACATGGAATTGTGTTTATAATGGTGTTATTATTTGTATTTTCTAACCGTGTCGGTTTTTCTTCTAAATAAAAACTGTGTATAAACAAAATAATCCTGTACATATAGTTGCTTTAAACTTAAAATCATATAAACGAAATAGCTGATTTATTATCTTAACTTTTATATACATATAGAAAATAAAAATAAAATAACTGTAATATAAGGCAAGATCATGTAAGACCAAACAGTAAACACACTTGAAAAAAAAAAAAAAACAAAAAAAAACAAAAACATTGTAGACGAACGATGAGTAACTCGACTATACTGACAAATAAGACATATGTGAAATGTACCGAAGATACAGAATTCAAACCACAAACGATAAGACATAACACAATATCAAACCGGACTTACAAAAGAAACATCATAACTAAATACATGAATGTTGGATGTATAGATACCGAGACACGTCGGTAATAGGTCACGTTCGGTACTTAGCAGACCAGACGACGTAAACCACAATCTAAGCCGTGGTAAAAATGTCGTTAGTTAGTTTAGACACAGACACATCGTATAGATGAACCATTTCGTGATGGTGTCCATAACATTTACGGAGTGTCATTTTAAATCTTTACTCCTCATGACTCTGTTGGAGCAGTTTCTGCGAAAGAAGCACACAACTGTATATGAAGTCTGTATAGTGTGAACATGAACGAGCATAACGTATCAATTGAGATATGTAAACACCATACGATGGGGCAGAGGGTATGTTACATTGCTTTAATATAGTGTTTGTTTTGTTTGATTTTGTTATACAGGTTATACCACTAGAAGTAAAGCATTCCTTCTTACGATTCATTTAATAATAAACCGCACAAAAACGATACAAAAAACAAAGGATTTGGGGCGCAATATACAAAAAAACTAAGTTGCAAAATTGCAACTAGGATTTAGTTACGTGGTCTGGGAGATTAGGCAGGTCTTGCTCCATTAGCGACGACGGTGTTGTTGCTCAGTTCAGTTGAAACTGCAGTAACGAGTAACATTGGATGATGTTATAATCGAGAAAAACCGGACAGAATTGTAATTACAAAAAGTGGTCCGTATCTGTGGTCATTTGTGACACATATTTGATAATGGTTAAATCGTGTCAGAGTAGAAAAAACCTTGGTTTCAATAGCTTCCTTGTAATCATGATGGTATACGTAATGAAATGTTGCTTCATACTCGTGAAATTGACAAAGTGTTGTTTTCATCTTTTACAGCACTGGGTCGATACTGTTGCTGGTGGACTATCAGTCCCCGAGAGAATCATCAGCTAAGTAGTCAGTAATACTTAATTTATTTATATCAAACCTCTCTTAAATTGTCCATTTATAAATTAATGAGAAACTATGGTATCAACTCTCTCAGGCAAAGTTGACCTTAGGTGGATTTGAATAATATTCTTAGCTCCTTTTTGATCATACAGCTATTCAACTGTTTCGGTTTTTTTTTTACATCATTAGCTTTCAAATATTCGACTTTCCGCTTTCCTGATGACGGTAAATACAGAAAAGCGCTTCGAACGCATTACATTGATAAAGTGTTGTTTTCATTTTTCTCATATAAATGGAATGTTTACAAGGAAATACTTGAAATCATCTCTTGGGTACAATACATGTAACAATCACTTCTCAACCGACATTCACTATTAATTGCTTTGTATAATTAAATATATGAGGACACTATATCGGTATATGTGTTATCTCTTATTTCAGGTTCTTAAGGATAGAAGCGATCAATATGGTCACCAAATTACAATAAATATTAAAGATAGAACATCAGCATTTTAGCGGAGCAGACCTTTAGTCAAAAGTCGTCGAGAACATGAGCGCGATTAGTTATCTCATGAAACCGACTGTCTGTTGAGAAAATACCTCACTAAAATATATATAAAAAACTCATGATATAGCTACTTTTGGGGAACATTATGCTTGAATCAAAGGATTTGTCTACCAAGTATGATTTTTACTGTTAAAATGTAGAAATTTATATCGACATCGGTGGTTATCTTTTATGAGACAAATATTGACTAATTCGTTTATATACTTTAGGATAAGGAAAACTTGTTTAAAGATGTAGAGAAGTGATGTTTAAACACTATTTCACGAACTTCGAGTGTATCTATGGAATTTTCAGAATATACATATGACTCAGATATCCCCTAATATAGCTGATTTTATAGAAACCCTATTTTTGATTACTAATTTGGAATAATGATAATAATATTGAAGGTGTTTTAATCTAGCTTTTGGAAGACACAACAAATTTACCTTGTTTTTAGGGAGTCTGGTATGATTTGATTGACCAATAGATTAAAGAAAGATCAACCTCTTCATATATGGTTGCAATTCCAAAGGAATATGAAACAGACCTATAACAATTCAAGCTTTCCTCTGGATTAAATAACATTGGAGTATATATATATATATATATTGTTAATAAATACTAGATATAGGAAGATGTGGTATGAGTGCCAATGAGACAACTCTCCATCCAAGTTACAATTTATAAAAGTAAACCATTATAGGTCAAGGTACGGCCTTCAACACGAAGCATTGGCTCACACCGAACAGCAAGCTATAAAGGGCCCCAAAAAATTACTAGTGTAAAACCATTCAAACGGAAATTCAACGGTCTAATCTATATAAAAATGAGAAACAAGAAACACGTATGAACAACATAAACAGACGACAACTACTGTAATCAGATTCCTGACTTAGGACAGGTGCAAACATTTGCAGCGGGATTAAACGTTTTAATGGTACCAAACCTTCTCCCTTTTCTGAAACAATAGTATAACATCACAACATAGAAAAACACACTATAAAATATCAATTGGAAGGCTTAACTCAATCAAAAAACGTAAATTAACACACAATGAACGAATAAATTTGACCTGTGACACCTGAATGCAAATACACAGTTAATAAAAAATTACAAGGGATAAATAATTAAAGTCAAAAGTAAATAAATAGGTTTAAACAAAGTTAAAATATGATATCACTGTGAAATTTCAAACAATTTATAGAAAATCATCACTTTTGAAGAAACCTGCGTCATATTATACACAGGTAAATGAAAATAATTTTGTTGTTAAGTATACTTCTTCTTCTGTGTGTATAAAATCTTCCGTTTAGGAATACCAAGAAATTTTTTTAATATCAATAAAACTAATCTAACACTTGGTACATATGGGGTGAATATCAACAATAAAAATATACAATAAGTGCTAGATAAAACTTCCTGTACAGGTCCAAGAACAACATCTAAGGAAAAATGAAATAATTGTACTAGTATTGTTACTGTTAGCGCTTTAACCGCATCTCCTACGGTTCATCAGGTCTGATTTATCTATTTCTGTGCTTAATCTTCGACGGAATGAATAAGTATTTTAAATGAGTTATATTTTTTAAGTTTACAGATTTCGGATCACAGCTTTTATTTTGTATTGCTTGATCACTTCGTGGAGAGATTTTTGGCAATGTTTAATTAAAAAACAACTGATAAATTATCAAGAAGAATCATGTCATGACATCCATATAACACCAATGGGCAAAGCACTAAGCCAATCAGTTGACATGAAAAAAGAAACTGGCATTAACATCAAATTAATTGAACCAGAATTTACATACAGATTAGGAGAAACCTCAATGACAAAGATAACACCTTCATATTGGAACAGACTTTGAAGCTCAAAATCACGAACACCAGAACCAAAACAACTATGTAAAGAAGTCATGACAGAGCTAATAGGAAATAAGGCAAAGACCAAGCAAACGCATTCACTGATGGGTCATGCATTGGAAACCCAGGACGATGTGGAGCTGGTGCAATTATAAGTACAGACGACTCAAGACTAGCTATAAGACTACACAGACCTGTCGCACAAAGAGGCGCAATCTTGCTGGCAGAGTTAGTAGCAATTTTAGTGGTATTGGAATTCTATATAATGGAGCGACTGTATAATACCATTACAACATTGAAGATCTTTCCTGTTAAAGTGCAGTGGGACTCCTAACACTAAATTTGGCACCAAAATCATACATCGAGACATCAAAGAATACATCGGGGACCTCAGATCAAATTTGCATCCTATGGACTCCATGACATGCAAATACACAAGGAAATGATGAAGCGGATTTATTGGCGAAGCAAGCAGCTGAAAAAGCAACAAACTGTCACCAAATAACAACATTATCACGCTTCAAGACGTTAAACAAGGTGCACACAAAAGTATCATGCTGAAGTAGCAAAGAAGATGGTAAATAAGTGACAAAGGAAGAGATCTATTTGAAAAAAACACCCTACGTAACTCCAATTTTCGACTTTTCAACAAAAACATTCTTCAGTATCTTCTCACAGCTAAGAACAGGATTTACCACCCTAAAGTATTATAAACACCGCACCGGGCATAAAACCACCGAATTGTGCAGCTGTGGAACCCCAGAAACACCACAACACTATCTCACGGAGTGATCCAACTACGAAGTTTAAAGAGAAGTTATGTACCACCAAATAACAAAAGAACTAGGGATACGCAACATCAATACAGGCACCCTACTTGCAAGACTAGATCATGAAAGTACAGAAGAGTTTAAACGGAAGTTAGAAATCGTTTCGGCCTTTATTACACAAACAGGACGTTTTGACACACAAGAACATCCTCAGCCTCAATCATAAACAGCAAAAACATTCAGGACTAGAACATGTTAATGTGATATAAATATATAACCATGCTCTACACTAAACCGGCACGCTGTGTCTTATTTCTGACGTGCTAGTTCAATAGTAACATTTCGTAGAGAGACATATCACCCTACTTGGATATATTCTTCAAGCTTATTTTGGTTCTGGAAATGAATTGTTCATCATGTTTAATCATTAGGTATGACTTTAATGCAATAATTTAATTATAAAAATAGGAATAGGAACAACTATTTCATCATCAAAAAGTCTTCAGCAAATGTTATGGAAAAAAATTAAATTTGCTGAATGTAACGGTGAGATGACTTTTAAATCCTTTCCGAAATTCAATTGAATATGGTCCTCGAATTCATTTAAAAAGATAAAACACAATCTTATACCCTCGATGAAAAAAAAAGTAATTGTGAATTCATCTGAAATTGATGTATACAATGAAAACATAACGACCACAAAAAATTCTTTTGAAAGGACAGGCATTTGCTATTTAAAAAAAAATCCAACCCCCCTCCCCCCAAAAAAAGTAGGCAATAAATATCTTACCA